CCAAAATTTTGTGGCACCCCGCAGGCTTGCGACAGCTTAAACTTTGGCACAGTCTGAAACCCTGAATTAAAGAAGAACAAGAAGAAGGCTCTAGGCCACGGTCTTTACTGGTCCTGGTCTCGGGATTAGCCCTGACGGCGAGGGGTTCATCGGCTCCTAAGGAGCAGCTGATGCCTTATGAAAAATTAATGCAGCCTTAGCCTCCCCCCCTCCCCCCCCTGTCCAGAAATTCTTTTTAGCCCTCTACCCTTATATCGTACCACTCACTATCATCACTAAGTGAGTACACCTTACCGATAATTTTTCGAACCTCCCTTAACCCTCCCCCACGCTCTCTCTCGCACGTATACATAATCCCCACCGCCACCCCCTCCGTACCATCCCTTACTCATAAAAGTTCGCATGCTACCGGCACACGTATCTACCATGTAGGTACAACGTGCGCGATCTACTTTTTTGCAATACATTACCCCATATATTTGATGGGGTACCTAGCGGCTGGTGCCTTAGGGGATGATGGCGACGTATATAGCGAAGACACGCGAATAAAGTTACGTCCGTGAGCGAGTGACTCGTGTAGAGAAGGGTAGCTGCATCCATTCGCCCTCTTTCTTCCTCAGCGTGGGGTTTCAGCGGTATAGGGGTGGGTTCTCAAACCGACTTTAACGTCCACTAGATTTAACCCAGCCCAGGTATCCATATCTTTCGGTCTCAATTACCGTACATTGTTTTTTTTTTTTTTTTCCGTTCGATCTTACTGGCTGGTTTCGAATCCTTCCACTTTTGAAAATATTTCTTATCTCGAAAATTATTCGCAAAGGCCCCGGGGCTCGTACGACTACGCACGGATCGTATCTACTAGAATTTTCGCCCGGATGCTTTTCATTCGAGCTGGTTTCTTCGCAGCGTTTCTTTTCAGCAATTTCCAGGGAAATTGCTATGGCGCATGTATCCCCCCTCCCTCCCCCCCTCCATCATCTATACATATTCCATGCATGTGCAACCCTGTATCCCATCTACATCACCGGGCTCTATGTGCCCACTTACGATCCACCTACGAGCCCATTCGCGAAACACGGTCTTAAGTCCGATGGAACGATTTTCATGCGCGAGAAAAACCGATGCTATTTCTGAACTGAAATGGTGTCGTTAAAAAAGAAAAATCGATTTCATCTAAATATCCCCGGTGCTGCATAACCCTTCGGTGGGTGAAATACGCAGGGGTTGTTATTTATCTGGAGGATATATTGGTAGAATCCATACGGGCTATATTGAGTACCTGTTATCAGTAGTGGATAAAAAAAATTGTTTTTAACCCTTCGCCATATTCTGGTTTACGCGATCAACCCCCTAACCCACACTGTGGGTAGCTTTTTTTTTTTATTTTTGAATTACTTACCGGATTCGAGGACGGTGTAGCGCGGATTGGACGTGTCTACGGGAATGAGATCCCTGTTCCAGGATATGATGGGACTTGGTGATCCAACGGCGGCGCAGGAGAGGAGAGCGTTATGACCCATCTCGACCACCTTCGTCGTCGGCGCCTGTGTTATCATTGGGAATCCAGTTGGTAGATTGTCCGCTGCAACGAGAATGGAAGAAAAAGCGTTATATAACAAAGAAAGAAAAGAAAAAAGATCGAAGCGAAATACCCAATGGACCCAGAAGAGAAACTGAGGAAGTTTAAGTTTCCACTCGTGCGTAACGAGCTGTCAATTACAAATTCGAGATGTCCCCTGGCCATCCCTGTTCCCGGGTCGGTCAGCCCCTTGGGAATCAAAGTTATACCGAGTGCCACTGGAAACTGTCTATACGACATTTTCACCCTCGGGAACCTTGTAAAACCCGAAGACTGGACGATTCGCTCAGACTGCACGGGAATCATTGGCATCTTGTTATTGATACTGGGTATCGATCGAAACGACACGCTCTGGGCGATTGATCGGAAATCGATGTTTTACAAAAGCTAAGATCGCTCGTGGACTGTCTTTGGGGGGTGAAAGGGGAAATGAAAAAGAGTTGAAATTTTATCTGGGCAACTTTAAGGTAGACACTGACATTACGCAACGAGGCAGAAGAATCTGAGATAAATGATCTGATCCTGTCATTAGGGACTGTTGTGTATTAGGTATTTTTTTTTCTTCTTCTTATTCTCTTTCTTTCTGGCTCTTGGCTCTTTTCTACGGCAGACGACAACGACCGAGCAAGCCAGTAACGGCGGTCTTGCTTTTGTGCTCGTTATCGTCGACTTATCATCGCGTTATCCGTTCGCCGATGCCAATTATATCCCTGCGGAACCCTCCAGCTATTCGACAATAGAAATCACCCGCTGAGCTTGCGCTGCTTCCTTCTCGAGCAAACAATACAACCCTGCTGGGAGACTGGAACCGCTGGTTGTTGGTTGTCTGGTAGTTGGTGCTTGGTATCTGGCAGGATTCTCCTTTCATTTTGCCAATTTTTCCAAGGTTGCGCACCCCTTCACCACATTGCTGGGAAGGAGGGGATGCTTATACAGCAACGAGGGCTCGTGTCGTTCTGTGTCGTGGCGATGGAATTTTTTTGCTTTTCCTTTTTTTTTCTCCTTTTCATATGATCACCCTTCCATATACCAGCAGTGATAACAGTTGGTCGTAAGATGGAGACCCGCGAACCCTGCCCTCCTGTACGTACCGCGAGGTCTGCAGACCTAGTGGATTTTTCCCAATGCATCTTCACTGACGTATAGAGTCTTTCATTCGGTGGGTATATTTTTCGGGGGGTTGCGAAAAGCTGGACCTCGCGCATACTGGATTGATTGATTGATTGGGTAACCTTGGGAGATAGAGTAGGATTATTATAAGAATATGGAAAGCTCGTTAATCCTCGAAAGAGGAGCTTTTTGGTATCTCAGGCTTGAGGATAGGCGAAAAGGCGGGAATCGAAAGGGCCGAATGAAAAATAGGCCGTGCCAGTTGAGATATGGTTAAGGGATGCGAGGAATGTATCACGGAGTAAAATGGGCTGGTGAGCACGTGTCGATAAGGGCGTATGTCGTACGGTACACTTGTGGGACTCAGGACCCACCGGAACCGGAAGCTCCACGTAGGACGGCCAAACGGGGAAATAATAACGGTTTCGCGTAGTTGGATATATGCGTGCTCATTTTTTTTTTCACGAAAGAAGACGAGGGAGGTGACGGGAGAGAAACTGAAAAAAGTAAAGCCACATACGGTGTTGAATATATCACACTATATCAGGTGGAAAAAATAGGTTTTTATTTTTAACCCCTATGGCTCTGCACCTCCCCCTGACCCCGTATCTTGGCCACGGACGATTTTTGACACTTTTATCGCTTATCACTTTTCACTCGGTCGGTAGGGACGATAACACGTGGGTACTGGGCATTGAATATTTTTGAAATTTGAAAAATTTTCATCAGTCCTTCGGCTAAAGTTTTGATACTCTTCGGACTTACTCAGATCTCAAGGTACCTCTGTATATATTGTGACGTGATTTTTCGAATCACGGTCCCAAGGCAGCTCCGGTTAACGATACAGATAACGTTGTCGATTTCTGGTTCCCTTCGGGTCGCCACTCTGCTCAGAAGCTACGCTCTCGGGTTGATTCGTATAGTTATGTCAATGCTCTCGTGAGATGCGGTTATTGTTTAGTTGAGGTCGATGGACTCGAATCTGCCGAGACGTCTCCACGTACCGGCAGAAGCCCGGGTGAAACACCGGCGCCCCGCTGGAGACGGGCAAAGGGCTGTAGAGCAGGCGGAGATAGTTGTGATACGGTCAAGGTCAGGGGAGGAACCTCCTGCCTGAGTTGAGGATGTGGTGCCCAGCTGTCACCCGATGCCCAGGGGAAGCGGCCGTGGAGGATCTCCAGAAGTTACGCACCGATTCGTTAAGGAACGCTCTCGATTTGGTTTAAAGGGACGACTCGAAGGAGATAGAAGAGTTATCGGTTAAAAGGCTCTCGACCAATCAGAATGATTAGTTCTCGGATTTGGCTATTTTGTCAAAACAGTCTGTCTCGGGTCACCGACCGAGGTGTCACGAGGGACATCGCGCTCCCGTGCTGTCTGTTGATAGTTTTTCTTGCCGTGTTTCGCTACGGTATAGCAAGTTCTCGATTCGTACAGTTCTCGCGTTGTTCTCGCGATATCCAGGCAATTCTATGAATTCCTGTGAGTGTTACGGAGGTGTAGTGCTGTGCTTCAGTGCAGTGCCCACCAGGGTGTCCTTTGGATGCAGTTCTCGGCCTTCACGGATCAACTGCACCAGCTCCGGTGAGTCTCCCAATTTTTTAATTGGTGAAGGGATTTCGATTTGATACGTCCGATTCGGTCTGTTACGTCCTCGATCCGTTGCTCTTTGTATCTCGCGCTATTTGCCTGACGCTTATGCCGACCCTCTCTACCTCAAACTAGCCGCCTGAGCGGTCGCGCATTTCCGTAACCGCCCGCTCCCGTTCGTGCATCCAGTTGCGTTTGCTCATCTTACGCGTCTCCAAAAATCGTCAGAGTTCTCGTTCTGGTGGAGTTGGGCCCGTTCCACCACAACTCTCGGGTCATACCGGCTCGTCAGTTCCAGGTGAAAAAAGAATTGGCTGGCGGCCGCCTGGCTTGCGGATGCACGAACGGTGGACGGCCGAAGGTAACGTAGGTTGGTTCTCGGATGTTTCGCTATCGGTGTCGAGTCAAGAAAAAGAATTACGTTACAATATATTTTACGGTTTTCCGTGGAATTTCGAAAATGGGCTAAAGTTTTTTAGTTGGGTAGGAAGGTCGTCTTTTCTTGATAGTCATTTCGATTTACAGCAAGGGTTGGTTTCGGTCGGTCGGTTAGGAAAGATCCGTGAAGAGGTTGGGGTTGTTACAACCCTTCGAGGAGACCTTGATGGAATGGGCGTGGTACTCGCCCCCCCTTTTTTCTTCCTGTTTTCTATCTTGTCCAAAGATAAGAGAGCGGATGTAACCGAGGAGAAGAGACGGAAAGAAAAAAAAGCGTCTGACGAATGAAAGTAAAGCATTAAGAAACGAAGATGATATTTTAGTCAAATCAGCGACCTCGCAGTCAGGGTCACGTGAATCTCGGAAAAATGTCAAAATAGGAAATAGCAGCATCCGGTAGTCGCTTATCATTAACTCCGGAACAGAGATTGAAATTTATATCCCAAACGTCAAACCACCCTTAATTATTTTCTAAATTTAGAAAAATCCTTCATCTCAATTTTTTTCATCCCCAATTCACGTGGCAGGGCGACTGGGTTTCCCTGCGGATCGCGGCGCAACTCCTGCCTGCAAAGGAATGACAGGTGCACCAGCATCAAGACCCCGGTCCAAGTCCTTTGTGGAGGCTGGTTATGCAATCGACAAGTAGCTATCAGCTATATCTGTCTTTCTTCATCCTTCAGTTTTTCCCATGTCCCACATTCTTCTCCGATACGGAGCTGGACTCGTCAGTGTAGCGGGTGACGGAAACGAAAGGAGGAAAAAAAATAGGCATCCCGAAGGAGAAGCAGCAGCGACGGGCTCAGCGTCAGGAATTAATTTGGCGGGGCCGCCGTTTCGCAGCTTTGCGTTACGTCCGTATATCTATGACTTAATAAATTTGAGGGTAAAATTTACGTTAAAAGTCGCGGGCAAATGTGCCTTCATAATTCAAGCCTGAATGCGTAATACACTGGAGCCCCGGGTCTTTCTATGCGAGAGGTGCCCGTTACGTCACTGGGGATCAATCTTAAAGATTGCGCGCATGTAACGGCCGGCTCCCCTGCTGGCTTAAATTGGAAAAAAGGAGGCCGTCCCGACGCTCGACGTCGGAACGGTGCCGCAGGGAAGCTCGAGAGTTTCTGCAAGGAGAGGACCCAAGGCTTCGGATGCTTGGCAATTGCCGTTGGGTGTGTGCAAGGAGAGAAGAAGGAAGCATGGTGGGGAGGAGAAGGGGTTGAAGGGGGGAGAATTCGAAATAAAAAATATTCCCTTCCGAGCCGATGAACCGATACCGAATTCAGGGGAAGAGATTGCGAAAACGGGCTTTGACTTTCTTCTGGACTTTATTCTTTGGCTCTCGTCTTTCTTCTCCTTCTTCTTTTTTTTCCCCTCTTTTATTTTCTTTCACTCATTTCATCGTATTCGTCAATTCGTTTTTCTCTTATTCGTTCGACTTTACTCTTTGTGAATATAAAGGAACGGCCGGTGCAACCGGCCGCTCTTACACAGATAAGGGTGCAGTAAAGACGATATTTACAAGGATATTTAAAGACGAAGTCGATATTTACCATGGGGCGGGTTCTCATTGCATAAGAGTCCTGAGGGGTAGCGGTTTGAGGGATCGTCGTGTTTAAGGGTTGCTCCTCGTGGACAGCTTAAACGATACGACCTTTGACTCCGGATTTTTATTATCATCCCCTTCAATGGTTAAATGTTATTATTATGTTGAACATTTTTTTTTATCTACATTCTCATTTTTCATCCTCATTCCCATTTGCATTGTTCAGGTTCGATTAAGCTTTTTTTAGTATTTTTCTCATTTTAAGAAGATATCGATAAGGAGGGGCGGAGGGGAGGGATCGATGAGGATTCTATTGTCTCCG